CCACTGGTATTACATCAGTGGTATTACATTTGGTCCTCGAAGTAGATTGGTTTCTCTAAGCGAGATCCCAATTCGTCGGTCATCCGACGTGACGTCGAGAGTGACCGACTGAAAGGGAACTACTGTTAACAAATGAAATCTTATTGTAAAGTGTCACCTCACAGTACATTTCGAGGACCAAATGTAATACCACTGATGTAATACCAGTAAATTTTGACCTTGTGGGATCTTTTTTTTTTTTAGGTTTTTAGGTTTAGGGTAAGCGCATAGAAAATACAGTATCAGTATCATCAGTGCTGCGCTCATGTATTAGTTGTGTCATGAGCAGTGTTATATTTTTATAATGTTGCTAATCTTAATATATTAAAAGATTTTTTTCCCTATGAAGTCTATTGAAGACATTAATCATAAATAGTACTGCTAACTAACAGATGTTTTGTGTTTGGTGAGGTAATGTGAGTAAAGTACATTTGCTGCGCGTCATGCAGTAATTTCAGTCTAATCATCACAAAAGCTGTTCACCCTTTTAATTCCTAGAAATAATTAAACTAAATTAAAAGTTTGGTTGCAAAACATTATTCTGATGAAGTTAATAACGTTTTATCTCACACTCAGACTCCTCCATTCCCATCAAAGCATCAAACACACCTGCAGATACCACTGAAGGGAAAGCTGACTTCAAACTCACACTCCTGCATTACTATACTTACACACACACACACACACACACTCATCTCTCACACACACACACTCACTCACTCATCTCTCACACTCTCATCTCTCACACACACACACTCACTCACTCATCTCTCACACTCTGAACTTCATCCACCACACATCTGACCATCCCATCATGCCGTGCACACGAACATAATATCACTGAACAAGAGGCAGTTATTGTTTGATTGATTGATTGCCCCAAGCAAGCACTTTTAGGCTACACCAGGCTTCGCGTTTAAGGTCTTGTAATAGTTAATAGTGATAAACATCTGCATTTGGTAATAAAAATAAATCCAGACTAAATAAGAATTGATTTAGTATTCATTCCTTTTTTTTTGTCTTCTGTTTACATTTTATTATATTTATGCGGTACCAAACTCGACCACAAGGTGTCACTAGCAGTATGTATGAAATCTAATGTTACACTGCTTTCTCGATTTTTCCTTAATAATACATTTTGCGCATTGTAATCAAGGCACAGTCGGGTTACGTATGTTTCATATTGTTTTCGTTGTCATGTAACTGGTGTTTTTCGTTTTGTTTTGTGTTTTGTTTTAAAATTGTTGTTCTAAACATGCGTCATTGATCACGACATACTTCTGCCATTACATTAGAATGTTTTTACAATACTTAGCATGTTTCAGCAGTTTCTAGTCATCGACCTTGAAAAACGTTCAAACGTTTTTTTTATGTATTCTCAGCATCCCATTTCTAAATATTAATAATTTCTCACATCTACATTCCTCTCTGTAACAGAAGTTTTCAAGTAATGAATCACATCAGCAAAGAGATGCCAATAATCAAATTAATTTAGCCACATAATAATGCATAGTTGGGATAGACAAGTCTATAAAAAAGCAGAAGAGAACACTTTTTTTTGTTGAGCCTCAGCCTTAATCATAAAATTTAATGATTAAACAATGATTGCACAATGTAATTCTGATGAAGGTAATTCATATGGTTTTTATCTCACACTTTCCACAGATTCAGGAAAAAGTGATGCAGGTAAGTGTTGCTCTGTTTCTGTTATGCTGTTCCTGATTAAACATATGGGACAGAAAGTATATACAGTATCAACTTGACATGCTTACATAATGTTTCATGCTGTCAATCCATCATTATAGGCAATCAGTCAAACTCCTCCACTCCCACCATTTCACCAAACACAAATATCACTGAAGGTAAAGCTGACATCAAACTCACACTCTTGCATTGTTATTCTCTCACACACAATCTCTCACATTCTGACCTTGGTCTTTTAAGTTTGTAGATTTAGCGCCTAATATGAACTTGCTTTTCCCTTCAGTCTCAGACCCCTCACACACACATTCCTCTTCACTCTCACTCCCACACTCCACCTTGCAACAACAAAACACCTGCACCACTGCAGGTAACAGCATACATCATATTTAATGTTTTCTTTTTGTGTGTTTATATATATATATATACACTGTATATACATATGTTGTTTAGTGTATGCAACTGAATTCGTTGCCCTATAGTACTATGTGGGGTCACCGTGTGATATTATATTTGATCTAATAATAGTTATCATGTACTAAAGATAAAATCCATATAATCTCACCCCCGTGCACCACACAACAAGAAAACATCAACACTACTGTAGGTAAAAGTGTATTTAACATTACATTTCTTTTCTACATTTTTTTTATATTTGACTAATTTATCAGTTTTCAGTCTCTATCATGTAAATAAATTAGCATACTTTTCAGCTTATGCAGTTTATGGTAGTAATAATTTATTTTGTATTGACTTTCTTTGTACAATACAGACATCTGGTACTATGTTGGGTCACCGTGTGATGTCGAACCTTCTCATACAGGACTATATATGGACCCACTTTATATTAAGTGTCATTAACTGCAAACATTTAAATTAATCATTTGATACAATGGGCTTATTGTGTGCATACAGTACGGTTTAATTTACATGTAAAAATACCTGCATGTAATTATATTTTTTATTAATTTCTGTAATTACCTAACCTGACCCATATCCCACCTCAAAAGCATCAAAAGTGTTTTGCAATACAACATGAACACAATAAGTAGACTGTACCAACAAATAATTTTTTTTTAACTTAAGTACATGGTAGTTAAAGACACCAGATATAAAGTGGGACCAGATGAACATTTTATTGATCAAATAACAATTATCTTTTTATTATAATCAGTATTGCACATCAATCTCTCACCCACACACACCGCCTCGCAACAACAAAACACCAGCACCACTGCAGTTTAGTTTTTATTAATTAACCAATTTGTTATTTTTTCTTCAACCTCAAGTCATGTAAATACATTTAAAATAGCTTTCCTACACGCATCTGCATCAGCACCAGCCAATGAAGCCCTCAGGGTTTCATTTAAAATCTAAAAATATTTCACTAATATCACACAACGTTTACCTCCCATAAGTGGTATTGTTGATGTCAAAGGTTGTGCACCTTTATTATTTATTTTAGTGCAAATTTATAATTGTGTAATGTAACACGGCTACTACCAATACAACATTTAATATGTTAATCAACTTTTATTTCCTTTAGAAACAGGCCCCTCACCCTCACACACTCCTACACAAACCCCACTATCACCAGGTCAAGGTAACGATTCGCTTCTTGAAATGTGTTGTTTATTCGTTAGTTAAACTTTGCAGCACATCTTTAGTCTGGTCAGTCATGTTTAACTCTTTTATTGTCAACTAGCAACTCAACCAAGTAATGACACCTACTTACCTCCAATCACAACCATCACACCTCTCACCTCCACGCAACCCTCCTCAACCTTACACACATTCACCAGCATCACGGGTAACACCACAACGCGTTTATTGAGACAAAATTGCTTGATTTATGATGATTAACATTTAAATATGTGCTTTTCTCAGGTACCACAGAAATCCCATGTGAGTATTTGCATATATATATTGTGCCTGTTGTGTGAAGTCAACTTTAATTGTGTTGTTCAAGACACAGTTTGCGTCTTATGAATTTGTGAATGTTCATACACACTTACACACAGGTCAGTACAGCCTAATGAAGAGTGTGAACAAAACCAAAGCTCATGTGGTGAATATCAACGGCTCTAAGGACCAAATTTACATAATCAAGATAAAGGATAAGCACAATGAGATCCGTGCTGAGCAAATATCTAACCGAACTGCCTTTAAAATTCCATTTGAATGGTTAAAACCATGCACTGTGTACACCGTCAGTGTGGATGACTGTAAACACAGTGGAAGCAACACCTTCACTTCCAGTGGTAAGTGTTTTAACCGGGAAGAAGATTTCTGCATGAATTAGATCTAAAATAGATCCCATCTATCTACTAAAATAGATGGGACATATTTTATTTTTTGAGTGACCTCAAAAAAACAAAAGTATTTAGATAATTATAATTTTAATATGTATTTACATTTGTGCTTAATTTTTTTATAGAAAATGGAGAAACTGTTCCGAATACTGTTGTGACAAGCGTGACAGATAATAAAGTGTGTTTGAAAGGAATATTTAATGATAATCAGAAATGGGATCTGACTGAATGTGTTGAAATAACGGAGCAAAACTCTTGCGCATCCACACACACCGTTGTACTGGACACATGTACCTACACAATGAATGTTGCTCTGCCCCCAGGTTGGTATTTAATAAACTGAACAGATGTATCGTTATTCAATTTAGTTTTCAACGTGAAAAACATGCTCAATTTTTACTGCTGTTTAAACACAAATGTCTGTAGAAAAATGTTGAATGTTTGAGCAATCGCACTCTCTTTCATGCTGCTGAATTGACTGTTTTTCAGTTCATGAGTGTGAATTTGAATTGGTCACAACACACAGGAGGCCCAATTGGAATTTTAATTACATTAATTGCAAAATGACTGTATTAAATATAATGACATACATTACACATTTCTGTAGATGGCATTTCAAACACTGATTATTAATATCTGTTTAATATTGGTTTCTTTGCGTACAAGTACGCAACATATTTTGTGTATCATAATAACAAAATGAAAACAAACTTAAAACAGTTTTACATTATAATTATTTGTTATAATTTATATGTTATAATTTTAGGTATGATTATATGTTATAATTTTAATTTTACTTGAATTTTAATTCTACATTTTGTTCGCTACCTTAAAAATTTTATTTGATAATTTCAGGTATAATTATGTTATCATTTTAATTTTACTTGAATTTTAATTCTACATTTTGTTTGCTACCTTAATTCAAATTCATTGTAATTTTTCCTGTTTGTTGCTGACGTGTTTGTGATGTGACTTGAAAAGTTTGATCTGTATTTTTTTTCTAAATGAACTGGATGTTTATGTTTCAGTCAAGCCTGACATAAACTTCAAAGAAACTATTCCCTCTCAGTTTGAATGGATGAATAAACCAGCACGATGTAATGCTACGCTTATCATCAGTTGCACCAATAATGAGAACGGTAAGTACTGGAAATGTTTCGATGGCACTGTGAACTCATATTTACATATTTTTTATTGTAATCATACTATATTTACATTGATGATTAAACAGACAAGCAGATGATGAATGAGTTTTCTCTTCTTTATTTGTCAGAAAACAGCGTAATTTATGGTTTAAACACCCCAGTGTCATTATTACCCTACAAACCGTACACCTGCACCGGAGAATATCCTTACGAGAAACAACCCATCAAGAGTAATGAGCTCTCCATTCAAATAAATTGCGGTGAGTTCCTATTAAAGAGATAGCGCTGGTTCAAAGTTCTTCCCTCTTTCTCTCCTGCACACCTGGGAATATTTACCAATAATGTCATGATGACTAGCAAAAAAAAGCTTGTTTACATGTAGTTAAATGTACAATACATTGACCCTAAAAAGTATTTAGACTCTTAAGGTGCACTTAAAACTATACGAATGTCTTTAAAATCAGTTGTATAATATAATATTAAATGCTGAATGCTGATTGAATGTTTCCATTGTTATATTGTAACAACATCTTTGTTTTTGTCCCTTTAACTTGTCAGAACAATTTATAAGTGGACTTACATTGCAACTCGGTTCTTTTAATTAAGAAACGTATCGCTCTAACTTGTATCACTTTGATTTCACTTTAAAGGGCCATATGATGCTGCTTAAAAGAACATTATTTTGTGTATTTGGTGTAATGAAATGTGTTTATGTGGTTTAAGGTAAAAAAAAAACATTATTTTCCACATACTGTACATTATTGTTTCTCCTCTATGCCCCGCCGTTCTGAAACGCGTCGATTTTTACAAAGCTCATCGGTCTGGTCCTTATCAGCTTTGGACCTTTTTACCCCCATGCATTTTCTATCTATAATGTGTATTGTTAGTAATTTAATAAAATAACAGTTAATTGCTGAATGGAATTTTCATGAATGTTGCAATTAAATTGTATGTAAATGATATGCCATTGTTTGTCTAAAATATGTTTTGTTTTATTCTGTTGATAGAGCCCATTTTCCAATCACAAATTGAAATAAATTACCCTTCTCACAATTCTCTTGAAATAAAATGTGAAAACAAGGGATCAAAGATAGTCTGGAATGGAAGAAATGGGACATTCATAGCTGAAATCACATACAATGGAGAAACTGTCACTGCAGGTCCACAGAACAGATGCTTGTTTAAATTTGCAGATCTTTACTATGCAACATATGATGTTAAGGTATTTGAATCCCACCTAATGTCTTTCAGCATCTGTCATTCATTAAAGCCAAAGAGTCACATGGGTTGGAATTGCAGTGCTTCACAGTTCACATTTATTCATTTCAGATTACAGCCGAGAATAAAGAAGGACATTCAGCTTTCATTACTTCTGAAGCTACTACTAAATGTAAGAGCAACCTTTTCTCATTCCGGCCCAACTAGAGGAGCTATTTCCCATTTCTATTAAGTTCTGTGATTTACATGTTATATGTATCATCTTTCTGAAGTTGCTTTTATAGCTGCGCTCACTTATTTTTTGGTACAATACAGTGACACTAAAAAGTCCTTAGACTCTTAAGGCACACTTAAAAATATATGAATATAATATTAAACACTAAATTGATTTTATAATTATGTTCATTGTTATTCAACATCTTTGGTTTCATTATAATTGCTTTTGGTTTCTATTGTGATTTTAGAAGATTACATTTTTCCAAAAATTTATATTTTTAAACGTATCTAATGCAGTGACAAATTATTATAGATATTTTATTGCACCTGTCTGATTGTGTTGTTCAGGACATATAGTTAGTTTCTTATGAATTTGTGAATGTTCATATGCACAGGTCAGTACAAACTTACAAAGAATGGAGACGAAACAACAGACCAAGAGGTGAATATGAATGGCTGCAATGTTATGGACAAATACTGTGTAAATGTTTAAACCAGTATACCATCAGTACAGATGACAGCATATCCAAAGGAAGCACAACATTTACTTCTAGCTGTTAGTGTTTTACCTCAGCAAAACATTTTTGCAAGAAATAGAGGTCATTAACAATTTGCTTTGAAAAACCTGAACTCGGACAATTAAATAAATAAATAAATACCAGTCAAAAGTTTTTGAACAGTAAGATTTTTAATGTTTTTGAAAGAATTCTCTTCTGCTCACCAAGCCTGCATTTATTTGATCCAAAGTACAGCGAAAACAGTAACATTTTGAAATATGTTTACTATTTAAAATATCTGTTTTCTATTAGAATATATTTTAAAATGTAATTTATTCCTGTGATTTCAAAGCTGAATTTTTAGCATCATTACTACAGTCACATGATCCTTCAGAAATCATTCTAATATACTGATTTGCTGCTCAAAAAACTTTTTTTTATTATTACTATTATTATTATTATTATGTTGATTTTTTTTTCAGGTTTCTTTGATGAATAGAAAGTTCAGAAGAACAGCATTTATCTGAAATAGAAATATTTTGTAATGTCTTTATCATCACTTTTGATCAATTTAAAGCATCCTTGCTAAATAAAAGTATTAATTTCTATAATTTCTTTCCCACCAAAAAAAACTATATATATATATATATTTCAGATAACTACTGAAAAAATAAACACTGAAGACTGGAGTAATGATGCTGAAAATTCAGTTTGATCACAGGAATAAATTACATTTTAAAATATATCCAAATAGAAAGCAGTTATTTTAAATAGTAAAAATATTTAACAATATTACTTCTTTGGCTGTATTTTGGATCAAATAAATGCAGGCTTGGTGAACAAAAGAGACTTCTTAAAAAAAACATTAAAAATCTTTTGTTAAAAAATTTTGACTGGTAGTGTGTAAATATATGTATATATATATATATACAGTGGGTACGGAAAGTATTCAGACCCCCTTAAATTTTTCACTCTTTGTTATATTGCAGCCATTTGCTAAAATCATTTAAGTTAATTTTTTTTCCTCATTAATGTACAGTCACACTTAAAAATTTCCAGTTTGTTCACGCTTAAAAAATAATAATGGTTTGATTTTGTTACATTATGTAATGATAGTCATTTTAAAATGTGATTAAATGTGTCCAAATACTCTTTGGGGACAGAAGAGAGAATGAATGCCTGTAAATGTATTACCTTTTCTGTTAGCAATTAATGTTAATGGTTTGCTTTAATTAATTGTTTGCCACAAGCTTTACATTATTATGTTAACAAATTATTTGAACCATAAATGCAATGCAATATACAGCACCGAGGTTTAAATATCAGGGTTTCTGCATCCTCTTCACGTGTCGAATGACATCTTTGCTTGTCTGAAAAGTTGAACAAGACGCGTTATGGATTGACACAGGTACAGGAATTAAGAGCCTATGGATGCAGACAAGACATTAAAACCTTAGTAATACATACTATATTACTTATTTGTATTAGTTCTGTAGTGAATGTATTCAAAATCGAACAAAGAAATTGATTTACCATGCATGATGTCATATAGACCTGCATTATTTGTTTTCTTCCATGTAACAAAAATTAAGATTAAGAGTGTCTAAATGACTTTAGAAATTATTTTATTTTTAAACACAGATAGGTATGTCTATTAATATAATCTGTTGACTTTAAGGGGCACCTATTATGCAAAATCCACTTTTACATGGATTTGGACATAAATGTGTTTTGGCCGTGTGTGAACACAGCCACCCTACAATGATAAAAATCCACCCACTTCTTATTTTTTAATCGCCATTAAACCAAACCAGTCTCAGGCCTGCTGTTTTGATTCTCTAAGCAATATGACATCACATTGCTTAGGCCCCGCCCACGCAGGGGCGTAGTTTGTGGGGGGGGGGATAGGGGTAATTTAAACCCCCCCCCCTACCATGGTTAATGGAAACCTCCAATCAGGCTATTAATTATTTAAATCGCTCCTTCTGCGCTTTTATAAGCGCTAACTTCACGTACGAACCGAATGGAGCAGTTCTCAGCACAATATGACTGAAGCGCAGTTCACGAGCGGCGTGCGAATCAGTTTGCATGCCTGTAACTAAAGAGGTAATAACGATATCTTAATATCTGTTTATATTTTGGTCCTTAAACTTTTCTTTGTTATTTTCATTTTTAAGGCTCTATATGGTTCATTTCCAGAGATATGGGGATCTCAATGTGGCTTCATGAGTAAACTGTTAAATTATACACATTTTCAGTGGTCAAAAACCAAATGTTGGGTCCCTTTGTATATAACAGATTTTTTTTTTCTTTTAAAGATGTCTGAAAACAAATAATGTTAAAACTAGAATTGTATCTTGTTTCTCTCTATGAAAACAATTGCATAGAACAATGTTTCCCAACCTTTCTTTAGTCGTGGCACCCTTTGGAAATTTTAACAAATTTGTGGCACCCTACAAAATTTATTACAAGGAGGCTAAGCAGTTAATAATAAAATAAGAACAATTAAAGAAATGACTAATGATAGCACAAATAAAAAATAACGATAGGCCAACAAATGAAAATAGCTGCTTTTTTGAACATTTTAGCAATTTAAAAATATTAAAAAATGATTTTTTACACGGCACCCCTGCTCTCGACAGACGGCACCCCGGTTGGGAAACACTGGCATAGAACATTTATCAATATTGTTTTTCCAAAGACTGTATAACTGTAACTCAACATGTATTAAACGTATCTCAAAATCATGTTAGATTCTGGTTGTATGGTCACTTACATTGCATTTAAAGTTGAATGTCTGAAGAACAAATACAAATGTGACTTTATTTAATTGCATAAAACGCTGTTTGCGTTCAGTGGATACTTTCCAAAATGGTGCAAGGGTGATGCGGAGGAGATGAATTGTTGAATAAAATCGTTATTTTTGTTTTCTTTGCATACAAAAAGTATTCTTGTAGCTTCGTAAAATTACACTTGAACCACTGATGGCACATGGATTATTTTACTGATCTCCTTGCTACGTTTCTGGACCTTGATTGTGTTAATTACATTGCTGTCTATGGGAGGATCAGAGAGCTCTCAGAATTAATGAAAAATACCTTAATTTGTGTTCCGAAGATGAACGGAGGTCTTACGGGTTTAGAACGACATGAGGGTGAGTAATTAATGACAGAATTTTCATTTTTGGGTGAACTATCCCTTTAATCGATGACCTGGCTGTAAAAACTTATTGGATAGTCGTGAGCTTCCTGTTCTTTTTCAGGAAGACTGTGAATTCCTCAATGCAGAACTCTTAGTTTCAGAAATAAAAGATACAATTAAGTCAGTGAAGTGTTAATAAGACCCCAGGACCCGATGGATACCCCAGTCCTAGTTTTACAAAGAATTTAGTGATCTTTTCTCATCTTATTTAAATACTGCTGATATTTTACCTCCTGTTCAAATGAGGCTACCAGAGGAAGTAAGTAGATATAGGCCAGTTTCACTTCTGACATGAGAAACACAAATTTTGACTAAAGTTTTGTCCATTATGCTTAGTTCTGTAACTTCACCCTGATAAGACAGGATTTATTCCAAACAGGGACTCCTTTTCAAATCTTTGACGTCTTTTTAAGATAATCTACTCTCACTTTGGTTCTCAGAGTATGGATAAACTGGTCTAAGATTAAATGAATGCCCATCAAGGTACAATTCCTTTCAGTTCCTTTTCAGTCGGTCACTCTCAACGTCACGTCAGATGACCGACGAATTGGGATCTCGCTTAGAGAGACCAATCTACTTCGAGTCTAAACTAAACGAGCCAATGCACATTGGCATGCGATTATTGCATCCAGCTGCCGCTGATCACAGCATGAGTATAAGTAGGCAGCAGATGCAGCGCATATTCAGGTTTTCGCTGAGGAGCCGAGCCGGTGACCCGGCCGCTCAGCGGTGGTACAGGAGCTGTGGCGACCGGACGTGACGTCTCCGTTCCCTCAATGTGCATTGGCTCGTTTAGTTTACACTCAAAGTAGATTGGTCTCTCTAAGCGAGATCCCAATTCGTCGGTCATCTGACGTGACGTCTCCGTTCCCTCCTTCAGGGAACGAGCGTTACCAAACGTAACCGAGACGTTCTTCACCAAATCCCATTTAAAATCAGGCATCTCAATTTACATATTTAGGAATTGAGGATAGAAATAATTTTCAGTCATTATTCAAAGCTAACTTTCCCCCTCTAGTGGCCAAACTGCAAAAACATTATTTAGTTTACACTAGAGATACCCCTTCCTAATTTCTTGTTATGAAGGGTTAATGTTTTTTTTTAATTATATTTTTGCCTAGTATTTTTTCAAGCAACTGGACTCATTAGTCTTTTTTTTTGTGTTTTTTTTGTGGTACTATAAAGTCCATAGAATAAGTAAAACCTGCTTTTGTAAATCTAAAGCTGAAGGTGGAATGGCCCTTCCAAACTTCTCTCT